ACTGAAAGTTACTCTTTCTGTTGAAAGGGAGTTTTTCCTTCCACTCTCACCAAGTGCTTCGGCAACGATGTTTAGCTAACAATATAAAGAGTCTTGAAGCGACTGATGTTGCGCTATATAAATAAAATTGAACTGAACTGAATTAAGCCTTTTCAGTCACTGTGAACTTGTCTTAAATTCACAGCGCTGAGGTGTAGCTCAGTGCCTCGCAGTCTCACTCTTGGGTCAGTGGTTTCATCATGTTCTTTAGCTGACCTGCTGGAGCCTTTTGTATGTGATGTGATGCAGTGGTGATATATGGTACTGTAGCTTAGAAGACTTTTCAAAATGCATCAAATACATTCAGCAGTATTGGATCTACAATGTGCTTTGTGTTACCTTAGTTCAAGGTAGTGATTACTCTTTAATGTTACCTGCCTACATGTATATCCTTATGTAACCTTTTGCATCCTTTTGTGTCTCTCCTTTTTGTAAACAGACAGTTCACGATATGAAATGATTCTGCATCAGTGACACAAGAGATGATACAACTGATGTTATATCACTGAAAATTCAGAAGTTATACAAGGCCTGGATGTGTCCCTGCACCTATTAAAGTCCAGTGACTCAGACACACAGAGGGCCTGATCTGATCTGAACTTCTTGCATCTGTATGCGCGTCGTGTTGTGATTATTGCTGTTGATGTTGTGTGGGTCAAACAACGGTGGCACACACACACACACACACACACACACACACACACACACACACACACACACAGAGGATGATAGAAAGTGGCACAAAGATATTACAGTCAACAGCGTGATAAAATTAATGGGCCATAAACTTGTGCAAAAACTGGGTCATTTAAAGAATATTTGATTTTATGAAACCTGTCTTGTTCCTCACCATTCATCTTTCACAGTCAGCAACTCTGCCCCAGTTAGGTCTATTGTTTAGGAAGAAAAGCATATGATTTGGTGCAATATTAAAGCCTTTGTGCTTGAAAAATATAATAAGAATATTCTGGTCAAGGCAAGATGAGGAGACTATCTGAGTGTGTCAATTTACTGGCAGACTAAAATAATATGACACACTTATTAATGATTGAAATTTTAGACAAAATGCACTTTATTTTGCATGTATTAGACGCCAGTTCAGCAAATTTCCCAGTAAGATAAATCAGCATATGACATAAATAGTACTCATTGTTTCACTATAAAACCTTTAAAACCATTCATATGAGTTATGTGAGTTCTTGACAATGACAATAAATAAATACTACTACTACTACCTACCCGAAACACAGCAACACATTGTGTAGAGTGTTCACAGCAGATGTTTTTCTTCAGAGCTGAAGGAAACCAAACACGAAAGTCACAGAAAGGTAAACACTGGATGGTCCTCAGGTGGGCACCACCGTAATGTCAAATAAGTGCATTTTAATTTAAAGTGTAACTGTTTGCGAACCAGTCTACTATCCCAGCTCCATATACTCTGGATGATTCTGGTAACACCTACTGGTTATCTGTGCAGCTGATGCTTTAAGCTGCAGGTCCCAGAATGCAAAGACCAGAACAACAGTGACAGACGAGCTCATTTTGAGCTGATCTTGAGCACAATTTGTGTGTATTGCGGACAGACGAGCGGACGCCTTGCTATGGTACATTCTTATCAGAGTGTAGAGATAATAAATGCTAAATACTTTTTTGCCCCACTGTATATATGAAATTTATAAGATCATTCATACACACTGACCTTCTGTAATTAAGGCCCCAGTCAACCGGCTTTAGTGAACCCCCCTGGCAACCATCTTCACTAGGGAAAAGTTAGCAGGTTGCTGGAGGTCGCTGGTAGTTGCTGGCGTGGGATCGATTGTAAAGAGGCCGCACTGTCACCTGTAGCTCGCATGTTATGCATCGACTCATCTGCGAACAGTTGCACACTTCTCTGTAAGCA